TGCCCGATCACTGGGCTGGTTTGGGAAGAGGGCTCGAATGTTAATTTTTAGCTTTAGATCAATTTTTTAAATGACAAATTTTTACAGCGCATGTACGTACTAGTTCCAAAGAATACTTAGGTTTATTGTAAAGAAATTTAACTTATCCTACTTTGTCAAATGCTAAAAGTAGCATGTTAGGTTTTGTAAGTGTAACAAATGTTGATATATAGTAAAGTGAATGCATTGAGAATGGTTTGCACTTACCTTTCCATTCCAAGACAACTTCAAGGTAAACAGGTAAAAATCTTTTTATTTGATGGTGAAGAGTAAAATCGATGCCCTACTCACAGATTGGTTAAACAAAGTGGACAAATCTGGGTTTGGTAGTTTAACTGTCGATTGGTTGGGGGAGACGGCGCCTTTCGATCAACTTAAATAACAAGTCTCAGTGGCATCCTCTATCTCACTATTACGATTTCCCTCTTCAGACTTAAATGAGTGATGGTTGTATTTCTCTGATCTCTGTCAGGGTAAGTTCAAGGAGGAGAGATTTCGATGGGCATTGGTCCCTATATCCGGGACGTGAGCTGGTGATTTTTCCCCGAGACGTGTTCAATGAAGATTATGGAACATTCGGGACCTGGAATGTACACATATTTTAGAACAGCAACGCTTCTTGGTTTGAGCGGTCGTCAAGAGAACATTTTGTTGTTGTTTTGTGTTATTTAATGCAGGTAGTAATTTTTGCATTTCTTTATCATTTATTTGTGTTCTGTATACATTTTTGTTTTTTTTTATAATTCAATCTTTGTTTTTGGATTGGACATGATTTAACCACAAGGTTATTCTTTGGAATCGATTTCATTTGTGGTGCTCAATTAAGATTTTCTTTGGTTACACGGTTTTGGCCCCAAGTTAAATTTATATATTCAATCATTTGTTTAATTCTATGGAAGTTATCTAACCGCTTGATGTGTGTATGGACTTGTTACCAGTCCCATGGGTGGGACCTCACTAACAAAAACTTGCAATATAGTGAGATATGAGTAGTGATTCAGTAATTTCCACATATTTTGCTGAATTTACCTTCCAAGACCATAGCTTTTTAATGTAGGGTTTTATTGCACCAAAGTGAGTGAAATTGTATTTGTATTACATAAGTAAATTGTAGGAAATTTTCTTAACTTTGTATATAAATGTTTTCATTGTAGCACAAATCAGAAAGGAGATATTGCTGAAAAATTGCAATTAGGTGTCATTTTTCTATGGCAAAGGAGGTTGCAAAATTGAAATTCGGAAAGAACACATACAAATTAGCTGAATTGTGGTGCTAAGGGTCCCTCGTTCGAATCCGGGTTCGGGCATGGATATCACATTTGTAAATGTATAGTGCGTTGGGTTGGTTGAGCAGCCTTGGCTTAAACCCCGCCCACTCAAAAATAAAGGCAACAAAAAAAAGAATTTCTAAATCAATAAAATCACTCATTTTCAAAACTCCTGAAAATCTCCTTTTTTTGAACCAAATGGACTATAAGGGGATTTTCTAGATATTGTAACATGAACAGTCGCAGACAACTCCCGATTCGAAATTTGACGGTAATCATTAATTTCGCTACTGTAATGATCTTAGGGGTCCCCGAACATCATATAATAATATAAATGGAAGATACGAGATAAATCAATTTAGTACAAAAACACATCTACGATCAATTTGGACAAAACAACCCTTAAAATGACAAATTGCATGTACAAAAACACATCAAAATGGTATGGCTGTACTCTACCATCGACTTCCATTAATTTAAAATGTACAAACGCAAGCAATATCCATGTTTAAGTCGATTATCTCAAACAAAACTGCACATACAACAGTAAGAACCGTTCGGCAGCGAGCACGAAAGAGACAGTAGGTAACATATACAGCGAAAAATTAGAACTGTATGAGGTACTCTCTCCACGGAAGAAACGATTAGTATTAGTCGAATCGTATAAAGCAACAGTAAGGCTGATAATATATTCCCACTTGAATACATAACTAAATACTGAATAAAACCATAGGCGCAACTGGGGGGGGGGGGGGTTTAGCCCCCAAAACCGAAATCAGCCCCCCCCCCCCAATCTATGCGAGGAATCATAATTCTTATGCAGCTTTACTTATTTGCCCTGAAAACCTGTATTTTATTTTTGAATTCGCTTGCTACCCGAGCGGAAGATTGTCGGCGTTGGTCGGTCGATGAACTAGTGAGTCATCTCTCAAGCTGCAATCATATTGCCAGTTTCTTCAGCAACCTGTGAAAGGTCATTTTCGGCCATGTGAAATTTATGAGCTGGTTAAGAAGAACAATATGGCTCAAGACCGTTTCTCTAATATTTCTCTTTGATATATAGAAAGAAATGTTTCCGTCGATTCCGAACAAATTGTTAATAAATTTGCAAAAAAAAACTAGAAAAATACCTTTACGCCTGTAGTAACATCAATAAAATATACTTCCTGTATTTTTTAATAACAAACGTGTAAAAAAATATAGAAAACGAGCTCTTGGGTATAACTATAGCATGTGGAAAACCAAATTTTGAAACTGGCATTAAATTTGCTTTTATTCCAAGTGCCTATGTATCAAATTTCATTTAAATACCTTCATAAATAAAAAAAATTAGCACTGCGCATGCGCAAAACCACATTTTGAAACTGGCATTAAATTTGCTTTTATTCCAAGTGCCTTTCATTTAAATACCTTCATAAATAAGAAAGTTAGCAATTCGGTTTATAAATGGTCGAGATGCGATGAGGGCACTGTGAATGCTGATCGATTAGGCTCAACTTTTGGAATTGCGTTTTATATGGCTAAAGGCTAAAGCCATGCGCATAATGAATTTCATGCAATTCGGTTCATAACTAAGGGAGATGTCAAAAGGGCCTTCTTTATTTTTTGGCCTACATTGCCAATTCACGAACTCCGATCTACAAATATGATAAAGAATCCACCTGCAAAATTTCATCGTAATCGGTCCATTCGTTTACGAGATATCGTGCTAACGGACGGACAGACAGACGGACAGATACCGCAAAATAATAATAATAAAATAATTTACATTTAGTAATGTTTTTAATGAAGTGAATGTGATGCTCAGAATTCAAATTTTCAACTTAGTAGAATGGGAATGCTAAGGAAAGAGGTATAAAAATTGGATGGTTTTTTGGAATGGGCTTTATAATGTACACCGGGCTGTAGCCCCCCCAAAAGTAGAAGTCTAGTTGCGCCTATGAATAAAACCATATAAAGATGCATAACCATCTGTACAATATAACAAATAAACTTGATTCAGTAACGGTACCTACTGAAACAAAAGCTTTGGAGCACGCCATGCTTCAATAAGCAGATAGGTAGCAAATGGGGGGTTTTAAAAATTTAACTAAATACGTTAAAACAATCAAATTCAAATCAGGGTTGCTCTCTGTTAATCACACGAGATAGCCCTAGGGTCTTCATTGATTACAAGAAAGGGAAAAGCGAGATATTAAAACCTTCCAAAATATGTACTCACCTACTATCTCCATTTCTTTTCCAGTTTGTATTTAATAATTTTACATTATAATGATTTTCAACTCTGCTTTCATGGGTTTATTGCTACCTACTGTTATGTGACGGAGCCCGACCTTCGCACCAAGGGCTCCCCGTACGAAGAATATGGTTAGAGCTCAGGCGCCTGCCACTTTGATCAGGACGTAACCTGTCTTATTATAATATCCAAGACTATTTGAAGCAATTCTGGGCGGAGGGGGGGGGGGGTCATTCGCATGCCTCTAATGCCCGTTTGCACCGACAAATTTAAGTGGAGCTTAGCTTAAGCGTACCTTAAAATCCATGACAAACAACCATTGTCTCAATAATCGTTGCCATGGATTTTAAGCTACGCTTAAGCTAAGCTCCACTTAAATTTGTCGGTGCAAACGGCCATAAGTACACTAACATCCTGTATAATCTTAAATGAAATGTAACCTGCGCCTGTGGGAAAATTCCCTACCATTGTTTAAATACAATGACCCTACCTATCCTTACCCAAATCCCTAAATGTCTTGAGTAAACGCACGCACTGAGAACTAACTACATAATAATCATTCTGCCTTTCTGCGGCGACTAATACCAGTTTGAAAAGCATGACGCGACGTCCTTGTGCAATTTGAATTGTTAACAACGCCCGGTGAACAATTCCATTGGCGTAACTTGTGATTTTTCCGTAAATGAAATGCATAAAAGCGGGAACGGTTCAAATTTAAAATTGCCAGATACTATCCTTACACCATACAGTACATACATAAGACTGCTCATTGCAATTCAAATGTCGTCAAGGGCATCGCCCGGGCATTGAAATTCAGGGTAGGTAAACTAATCTGTCCGAAGTTGTTCGATGATCTGAGTCTTATATATGTATAGAGCTACTAGGTAGTCCAGAAATAGTTTTTCAATGTAGAATTATTACTATTATTATATGATAACGAATTAAAACTGTTTTGGTAATGTTTCTCACATTGTGTGCAAGTATCCAGGAATTTTTCTAAGAAGAAAATATAGCGAAGTTGTAACATGGAGGGCCATTTAGAGAACTTGGCAATATTTTTTTGCAGAAAAGGTCGTAGGTAATGTATTTGGTACGAAACCTAAAGGCTCGTATGTCACAGGGGGAAAAAGAACAGCGAGATGGTTTTTCGTCCAAATCTACCTAAATCAATACCGAAGCTTAAACGGATTTTTGGGCTGAATTTCCTATAATGAAATCTAAACCTAAATATCGAAAGAAAGTTTAACTACCTATATAGAAACACTCAACTTTGAGGGAACGTGTTGGTTTGAGCAGAACGACTGCAAACTCTTAGTACGTGGTAATGTATGTTTATTTATTTTAATCGACCCATTGGCTCTTCTTCACGTTGGAAGTCTCACTTAGATTTATTCTTGAGGGGCGCTAGTCGAAACCGGTAAATTCTAACAATAGAATTTTGCAAAACGTCAGCTAAATGTCATTTTCCGCTTAAATAAGTACAATTTGGTATATTTACTTTGTCGAAATCTTCAATATAATGAACAGTATTCAGTTCATCTTTGCCTCGACACTTTTCAGTGCAGCATTTATAGTTATATGTATATATTTCGATAAACATCGTCACGAAGATCCACTCTTTCGCAAGAAATTAAAGTTGAGAAGACGAAAACCGTTACCGACCTACAGCGGTACGAGTTTGAAGCCCTCGGTAATTTTACAAACTGACAAAGAGTCGAAGATAGTCCAAGAGATACAATCGGCCGAAGCGTTTATGACAGTGGAGGATTATCAAAATGCTGTTGTCCATTTCGCAAACGCGATTGCTTGCTGCGTCGACCCTTCCGATTTATTAATTTCGTTAAACAGATCGTTACCAAATGAGGTGTATGTGACGCTCGTGGAAAGGTTGCAGAATAATTTTGCGGACCAAGTGCAGAAATTGAAGCATAACGACCAAATGAAGACGTTATTGGATGTTAGCTCCGTATGTGAGCTGTACGTTAAAAATAAAACATCATGAGCGAAATTAAATTTCCTTTTAAAGTTTAAAAACGTAAATAATTATTTACTTATCACTTTATCAGGGTCAAGTTTAAATTCGTTACTTCTGTAATCTACTGCGCACCTGCGGTCAATTTACGTAGTAGTTCATCACTAAAACGGAACAGTTTGAATTGTAATTACGTTCGTTACTGTTCATTAGTTTCGCTGTTCAGCTAACGTAAAAATAGAAGATCGGAACTGCATGAAAAATGTAAGTAGAGAAAATTGTTGCGTTTATGGAGAAATTATTGAATTAAATCATTATGAAATTTTAAAAAATTGGAGATGCCGGGGATCGAACCCGGGGCCTTTCACATGCAAAGCGAACGCTCTACCACTGAGCTACATCCCCTTTTGAATATCATAGTCTTGTAAGCGCTTTTACCGTTCAAATTTTCCCCGTTTTGATTAAATATCTAGTTTTTATAATTATCATTTCCTAATTCATTTTACAATAAACATATTTGCATATTAGTCATAAACTAAGGCAGGAAGAGGAAGTCAAATCCTTTTATTTAAATACCTATACGTTTATCTACATGTTTGCTGTAGGTACCGTTTCGTACAGATTTTTCCCCCTGGAAGTATCCCCAAATCCCAATTACACACTTACCTACAGGGTCAAGAGTGGGCTGTTTTTCTGAAAATATATATCCAATGGGGTCATCCCGCCTTCATTTTTTATTTCTGATCCACAAAGTAGGTACATTAAAAATAAAAAGACCCGTGTGTCCTCAATTTTTATTTGCGAGTAAAATAAACCCAAAATAAATTATTGAAAAGCTGTGTTTTTAGTCCGAATTTGAAACGCTTCAGACTAAATACGTCACAAACCTACAACCAATCACGTAGAAGTGAGCTGGCAACCTTACGCGAGGGTCTGACGTTTGTCACATTTGACGTTTTGAGAGGGATGTTTAACTGCATCTAGCACGAAAGATGACGCAAGTATAAATGCCATTCTCCTGCAATATTGCCAAGTCGTTATGTCATCTGAATGGTTCTAGGAGCTGATTGGTCGGGCTTATTACGTCACAGAGCCCGCCACAATCATATCGTTTTGAATAAACCTTTAAAACCGCACATGTTCATTATTTTTTTGCTAATCAGCCTCTATTTTTAAATAAACTTTTACTGTCCAAAAAAATGTTTTATGGTTTCACGTACACGCTTATTAAATTAGAACTGCGGAATTCAACTATACTGTAAACCCCCATTATGACAATTAATAGCACACATCTTTTCCTTTAATTTCATAGGTACTATTTAATTAACTAAAACAGTAATTATTAGCATCTAAAGAAATATAGGTAAGTAGTAGGTACGCAGGTACCTTAGCTTCAAAAAGTTGGAGCTGATGAGTACCTCCCTAGGTACTTGTTTTCAATTTCCACAAGGTGGATATATCTTTTGTACTAGGTATATGTATTGAAAGTGACTGAATAATAGTTCGCAATTAAGAAATGTCGGCCACCTGCGGGTGGGGTAATGTAACCGGGCTCGTGCCCCTATTTATTTCGGGTTTTTCGTGAAAGAGAAGGAAATGTAGGTATAATCTCAAATACCTATTGTTCCAAAAATAACCCAAAATAACATACTATTGAGCCCATATGACACATAAAATTAGTACTTAAATAGCAGAAAACTGGTTTGCGCGCATTTGATTCAGTTACGTTATAAATAATATAAAATACTTAGTGATTTGCCCAATTATTTGTCTGTCATTTTGTACTAAAATTTAGTCTCGTGTTCTTTGAACCTTATAGAGCTGACTATATACTCTTCGATCCACTTACATATTTTTAATTAATTAATCACAGAAATATCGACTTTGAAAAGGAAACTCAGTTCTTGCTTTTTCAAAACTTCAGTTGCGACTGTTTGTTGCTTTCGCTATGTTGTTCCTTCCACACAGAATGATCAAAAATAGACATATAAGTTGGGGCCAGGACCATGTACCTACTCGAAACATAAAAAAAATTAGCAAACATTACACCAAAAATGAACCCGATTTCAGACAAAAGGTTAACGGTATCAAACACATGATCCTGCATTAAGGTTAAATCGGTTTAAAAAGGGACTAGCAACAACACCTACAACGTTAAAAATTAATACGATATGGCTAATGGTGTAACACTTGCACCGTCACAGAAAGTTCTAATGGAAAACATTGTACTGATAGAGGTGTTAATCGTTCCCAAATTACCAAAAAACTAATTCTTGGCATCGACTTCTGGCAAGCAATGGGCATTACCCCAGACCTTCATAATGATGTTTGACATTTTAGAGAGGCGTCCAAGCCATTCACATGTTCGATAGACGTAGAAGATCTTCTATTTCCAAAAGAAAGAACACATACCTGGTGGAACTAATTGAATTAAAACCAGGGGTAAGATGAAGACCTATCAAACAAAGATACTACCCGGTCTCACCACATAAACAAAAGATTATAAATGAACAATTACAGGAGATGTTGGATCTGGGTGTTATTGAAACGTCACCAAGTCCATGGGCCAGTGTTTTGTACCGAAAAAAGGTGGAACGCACAGGTTTTGTGTTGATTACCGTCGGCTTAACAAAGAAAGATGGCTATCCTCTCCCTTATATTTCAACCATTCTGGAGCAATTACGGTATCTCACAAGCACATGTTGGAATATTCCACCCTCAACTTCGTCCATACCTGGGCGTGGATTATTCAATTCATGCGCTTGCCATTTAGACTGTCCAACGCCTCTGCAACGTGACAGTTCTAGTCATCTTAGACGACATTATTGTCGTATCTCAGTCATTTGAAAACCACCCGAAGGCCCTAGACACTGCATTTGCTTGCAGCTGGTTTTTCGGTGAAACAGGAGAAATGTAAATTTTGTTTATCAGAGTTGAACCGATCCGGACAAAATGAAGGCAATTCTGAACATACCTACCAACCCCTAATAATGTGGTACAGCTGCTTGGTGCCGGAAATTTATAAAGGACCGTACCACTCGTTTAGCGCCAGTTGACCCGGAAAAACCAAAAATTCATTCGTATATGAGCCGTATCAAAAGTCGTGTTGGCAAATGCCATGCTATTTTAATTAGGTACCAGAAGAAAAATTCCCCTTCTGTAAATCGTATGTAATTTATTGTAATACATATAATAACAGTAACAGTCACTTTAGGTAAATACGCAATAAATAATAAAGCACGGCAATTAAGTCGTGCCATCCATCATTTTTAAATTAAAATGAACAAAGGGGGAGTTAGATATGCAATGCATAATGTGTACAGTTAATAATAGAGTAAAAGAAATGATAATGTATATTCCGCATTTGTCCACATTGCTAAAGCCGGGACTTCTGCATTTGCATGTTATTGCGTTTCAAATGACATGCAAAGTTAAATTTACCTTTTAATGCTTACGATCCACGTGTAGACATGAATTTCGATAATGCATTCAAATATTTTCCATCAATTTTAATTAGTTGTGTTTTGTAATGGGACTTTTTTGGTTTTTGCATCTGCTTTTTCCAGGTGAACCAGTCGCAACCATTTTTCGATTGATTTTCGAGACCAATGTTTGGTAAAAAGCTTTGGTGCTTTTCACATACACCATAGACATCCTTTACACACTCACACTTTATTGGAGTAGGTACTTTGGCAGCTAATGTACGATATAATAAGATGACAAAAACCAAAAAACGTTTCGACTTGGGTGCTATCATAATCAGAATTTGGGTTTTCTGCAAGGTTTTCGTTATAACTGCATGTATAATGAGAAGACGAACAAATCACATCCATCAATTATACAGTAATAGGATTCCTTTCCTAGAAAGGCGTTACGTGTACCTATAGCGATTAAATTAATGGAGTAAATTGCCCTCATTATTCAAGGGTGGGTAGCTGCAGTACGTATGCGCTCGATTTCTTAACTTAAAATAGATTCTCTACTATTACAATTTGTATAGCAATCCCGCTGATGGTCACTGATATCATTAAACCCCCGCGAAGCTTGCGCTCGCACGGAAACTTTGCTAAAATAATTAAGGGCGCGCGGGTTTTACGGAAAGCTAAACAAACACGATAAAACTTTTTTATTATCTATTATACGCATGTACATTATAAATTGAATAATTATAGCCCCAATCGTGGCGGAGGAAATGGAAATACGCGCTATTGCGTGTATCGAGATTTTACGCTAAATTGGCTATCGTCATAAAAATCCTAGATTAGGGTCAGCGATATTGGTTCCTATTAGCCTTGATGTCGGAAAATGTTTCAAGGGCGTGTCCGCAAATTTTTTAAGGAAACTGGCAATCTGGTTCGAATATACTTCAAATCTGTTCGGTATTATACATTTATATGGGTCAACAGGTCGTCGCGACGTCCTGAGACGTCACCTTATTTGTAGCGAATCTATAATAGTTGGTCACGAATATTCAGCCTATAATAGTATGCAAGGGTAACAAGGATAAAATAAGGGTCGCAATCCAATTTCTTGTGCCGGAATTTCTTTATTCTCGCTTTTGTAGGTGTCAGCGGCGGTTTGTTTTAACGGTCCCGTCGTAGACCGGTACAAACGTGTAACGTGCAGAAAGCTCTCCAACAGTTTAAATTACTGTACAGTTACTGTTCTTTATTGCAACATAGACGCTGTGGTTGTGACCAAAGAAAGTAGGTTGGGTTTTTTACGGCCGATGAAAGGTAATTGCTTCTGTTACTTTCTAGCACAAGAGATCAATTTTATGATTGCTTCCGTAGTGCAGTGCCAAAGTGCTTACAAAATTGTTATCTTTTGTTATTATGCGCATACGAAAGTAGAGGGATTCAGGAACACCGACAGTTGACCGCAGTTTCCATCCCGGATGGAATAAATATTATCAGGATTTTCTTGCCATCAAAAATGAGTCGCTGTCGAATCACCTTTGGAATTTTTGTTTACATGGGAAGCTTGATCTTCCAAAGGCGCCTCGACCGCCACTCATTTTTGATCGCCTGGTAATCTACATGTTCGTGCGGAAAGGACGCAAACTGTAATTAAATTTCTCTTTTCCTTGGGTTTTATTTTGACAGAAAGTGAAAAATTCAATTGCCTGCTTTCTTACTTGATCCCTTCGATGACAAATAGATTTAGGTACTGCAGCATTTTAGTTCCACTAAACTACTGTTTCACTCTTCTTTTATTTTCTGCAACATTCAGAAACATTTCAGGCGATAGAGTGAATCCAACTATTTGTTTTACCCTTGAATCTATTGTGCGTGCCCCAGGGTCTTAATCCGAGAGATGCAGTTAAGAATCTGGTTAAATAATCTGACGACCCTCTTAGGCTGCAACTACCTGATCTGTGCAGCCTCACCAAGGATGTGTTCCACTGTCTCTTCCTCCTCAAGGCAGAAGCGATATGTGTTATCCTCAGCTACCCTAGTTTTGTTGAGATGATATCTCAGGAGGGGAGGGGGGGCAGTATCCAGTTACCAGGTGTCCAGGCCTCTGTATCCTTAGTTCACTTCTTCTAAATGTTAGCAGCGAGCGGGTATTAGTCTGCTGGAAACTGATTATGTTTCTTGCATTGTCTTCGTCCAGAGACTGACATCCATATACGTTTCCACTCTGTGCTGAGGTGGTTTCTTATCAGTCCTCCAGTTAGACTTGCTGGTGTCCCACTGTCCGAGCAAATGTAAACCAACCATGCTTCGTATGTTCTTATTGTATTCGCTCGTATTTCTCGATGTTATTCGTAGTGTTGAAGCCCCTCGCGAGGGCAAAAATCGCTTCCTCCATGCTTGAAATCGTTTCAATAAAAGTTGGAAGCTTGCACCTACCGTGTATATAAATAGCAAACGCTTATTTCGACGCGGTGTGCGGAGGTTACATTTTACAGTGAGCAAATTCCTGCACGTTTTATTTAAATTCGACCCCAAAATGTATCCACGGCTAGCTCAATTTATGAAAAATTACCTTGTTCCAATTCCCTCAGTAAAATGCACTTATTTTGCTTTTTACCTGTAAATTCAAAAACATCATCTTACGCTTTCGACCACCTTGATGACAAATAAATACCCAAAAATTTAAACGATATTGAAATCTAAATCAATCAATTTCCACATTCCAATACATCCCACTTTTTGGAACCCATATTAAGTCTGCTATTTAAAAAAAAATTAAACAAATATATAGTCAACATGTTGTTAATTAAAGTGTTTGTATAATTTACCATGATTTTCCCTTAAAGATATGTTAATTTTGCATATACAGGGTGACAATTTGAAAACTTACCACCCCCCATATCATAGTAAATAAACAAGATATTTAAAAAAATCAAAATCCGTTTCGGTAATTCGGAGGGGGAATCACAATTACATAGTTGGCGACGCACCCCCTCACACCCCCTGCGCCCCAGCCACCCCAACTTTTAAATCTTAAATAGTGACCCCCCGTGTGTGATACGTCGTTGGAAAACTCTGAAAAAATGCTTTCCAACCATACCAAATATCATTCCATTTAGGTTAGTAATTATCGTGCAAATCAAAAAATAAACTAATATGATACATTTTCTAAAGTTGGCTTTTATTTCAATAAATGTTCAAAATGGTTTCCGTTCTTGGTAAGACAGTAATACTATGTGATCAAAAATGAGTTGCTGTCGAGTCGCCCTTTGAAATTTTTGTCGCCAACTACGTCATTGTGATTCCCCCTCCGAATTACCGAAACCGATTTTGATTTTTTTTAATATCTCGTTTATTTACTAATGCCCGTTTGCACCGACAAATTTAAGCGGAGCTTAGCTTAAGCGTCCCTTAAAATCCATGGCAACCATTGTCTCAATAATCGTTGCCATGGATTTTAAGGGACGCTTAAATTTGTCGGTGCAAACGAGCATAAGATATGCGTGGTGGTAAGTTTTCAAATTGTCACCCTGTATAAAATAACAGTACCTCATATAAAATATATCGTTCTGTAGATGACGACGTTTGGATACGTCAGATTAAGGGCGGTTATTCCTAGGTGACAATGCTTCGTGCATTGGCCGCAAACAATTTTCTTTATGGCGAAAAATAAACACGACACGGAGCGGCACGTTTAAGTGATTTGTCCTCGACCGATAATATGTGTCTTTATTTCTATTCTAATACGTACGCTGCCTTATGAGCCCTGTTCGACGGTGGGGCTGATTTCTCGCACCGCGTGGGGGAAAACGCCGCGTTGATTTTGTTGACATTACCGCGTGTTTTTTTTAGATGAGGGTTCGACAGCTAAGGTCATATCCCCTTTTAATTTTCATCTATGTAACCACACAACTAAATTTTCCCATACACTTCGATACTTTTCAAGAAATTCAATAAATTTCTAGCTTTATCCCAGCTGGTAAAATTTTGATTATAATTTGGCATAATACTATGTGTTACACGCTCATTAGAGAATACTGGACAGTCCTTTATTATATGGGCCACCGTGAGGGCCATCCTACATCGATTGCACTGTCGGGAATTAGTACGATTCAGTAGATGTTCATGGGTTATTTGAATGTGCCCTATTCTCAGACGGTGCATCTTTACACTTTCTTCTCTAGTTGCGCCTGGCAGTGCAAACACTCCCTTTGCGATGGGTTTTATTTGTGAAAGGTGAGTATTTGTTGCTGTCCATTTTTCTTGCCATTCCGTGTGGCATTCGTTTTTCAAGTTTTTCCCGAGGTCATATGGAGCAGCATACCGCGTGTTGATTCTACTGCTAATTGTGGTGTGATGCGTATCAGCTACCATATGTAGCACAACTTAAAAACAATAATAACATTTTCTTAGCAGTGGGAGCAAGAGCTATTATCTAAATATTTTTCACTTAATTTTAATAAGCGCTGTAAGAAGAGCTTTAAATCATATTTTAAATTGGGGAATTTTAAATTTAATTACACTTATTACATTCGGCGGCGGTGCTCCTATATTTTCCAGTTATATAATCATGATCTCTTACGTTTATTTTTTCTATATCGTCAAATTTTATTCCACATATTTATATCAAAGTCAAGCCCAACTTTACCTATTTATAAAATTCGATAAAAGAATACAAATTTATAGCTACCGTTATAGCTTTGGCAATGAGAGGTACACCCTTACTCTGCCTTAAACGTTACCTAAAATGTTATGCTTGTGCTATTGAGACCTGCTAAATAGTTCCTAATTTAGATAATCGTTGGGATCAGTTGGACTGTATCCTAAAGGCAGGGGCCCTGCGCACCGCTACATATCCACATGCAACATATACTCTTCTCAAGATAAATTATGTAACTGTTGCAAGTTGTGTTACACTGTAATGCCACTGTTCCAACTTCCTAGGTCAAAGTCACATGTGTCAAATTACATAAAAGGTACTGGGGGTTTTAGGGACCTTCAGCGAATTCAGGAATGAAGGTTTTCGAAATCTTTCTTCCTATGAATATACCTACCTGCTGGCCAAAAACCATACAAAGATTTGAATTGAAAGGAGAAAACATTTTACGTTTCCAGTATCTCGTCGCTGGGAAATTCCGCTTTCATAATAATGTATTTATCACTTTTCGCCATTTGTATAAATCAAAGAACAATTACATTAAAATACCATTAACAACACGCTTTACAGTCAATTTTGATTAGCAGATTAAATAATCATCGATTGACCTTTTTAGTAATCCAATTTCCTAAAGATCCGACTGCATTATATATGAAGTTCTGGGGAAAATCGATGTCAATACTTGTTATACCTATGCCTACGTTAAAATATTTGACCCGGAGAAAGTTTGTTGATAAACTTTTCCTCCAAGAGTTGATAAGTTTAAGGTCAATAATCACGAATCAATTTGAAAGGTGGTTGTGGACGTTCATTCATTAATTCTGTCATATTGAGGTTAAGGTTTAGTTTTATCACGATTAAATAGGGGGATGTAATTAATTGGCCCCGCTTTGTATATGTAGGTTGACGCCACCGATAAAAATTAGGGCACACCATTACGAATTATTGCACCAAGTATTTGCATCATTTTTCAGGAGGCGTACACTTCAGCTAGATTTTGAAAATAATCCCAAACTAGTCACGGCCGATAAGTACCCCCAACACAGCGGGTTCCCTCCGGGAATAACCGTCGACGAACTTTTCCGTTTTCGAAGAAAAAAACCGACAGGTAAGAATAATGTGTTTGTCTGCGTGTAACTTACAAGTAAATTCATAGATGTGGTCATTCAGGACAATCTAAAATTAGATGGTGGTTCATTTCAATCAATCAAATCTGAGTATAAACGTAGATTTCGGAAAGATTTGCTAGCCGTGCGTTACCAAAAAAGGGTCCGTTTTTGTTATACGCCACGTTTATGGTTTTAGATAGAGACGCCTAAAGCGGTAAAAGGACGAAGGCCCAGAGATACTCTTAAGATCGAAGGTGACTTTTACTTTAACCCGGAATACTATGACTCCTACGTAGAGTATCCCGTCGAAACAGCGGCGAATAGACTTTTGAGCACTCCCATGGAGGTGAAGGATGAGTCGGAAAATAGCGAAGATGAGGAGTAAGTGATTAGGGTATGGCACGCAAATGCTTTTGCTATCGATTTCACGTGCATCTTATAAAGCAAATGCTATAACGTTTCAGTTGCACAGCACCTTTCGTTAAGGGTAGTTTGTATTAGGTAGCGGCACGTCACCGTTTCGTTTAATGTTAGTAAGTGAGCATTTCTTTTAGATTAAACAAACACATCAAACTCGGTCGCCATTTATTTCGTCGACCCACTCAATTGAAACTTGAAGGCGAAATTTGGAATGCAACTGAAAGTGCCGAAAAATTCGTACAGTATTTATTAGCAGAGAAAACGCAGCTGTTGAGGCATCCGACAACGTTAAAAATGGAAGGAGATATGGAAACAAAGACTGAAAATAGAGATAAGTACGTTGCATACGAAAATCAAATTAGACCCAATCTTCTAAAAACGGATACGCATCTTCACCTAGAAGGCAATATCGACATATCCACCGAGAATCGAGATAAATTTTTACCACCCGAATTGCTTCCGCGTCCACCTCTTGCAAAACGTAACACCAACCTGCACATGGAAGGCGACATGCACCTCGGGTCCGAAAATCGAGACAAGTTTATACCACTCGATCCTCTTCCACGTCCACCTCTCACCAAACGCGGCACCAACCTGCATCTCGAAGGTGACATGACCTTAAATTCAGAATACAGGAATATTTTCGTCGGATTTGAGGAACTCGAGAGGATCCGTCCGGCGTTTCCCACGAACAATTTAAAGTCCGACGGATTTCTTCAGACTGAAACAGAAACCTCGAAATTCGTCAAGCACGATATTCAACCGGTGATTCCGTTGCTTCGTAATTACGACGTCGGCAAGAGAATCAATTTAGGCGACGAGCCCATTGTTAAAAAGGCGGAGTATAAGTCAAAATTTGTTCAGCATCCCAAAGCCGAACGCAGCGCGCAGAGACCTAAGGAAAATTTGAAGATGGAAGGTACGCTTGACGTCGCAACTGAAAACAAGGCCCAGTTCGTTGTCAAAACACCTTCGAAATCTGCACTAAAAAAAGTCGGGACCAATCTGCAGCTCGAGGGGAAGCTAGATTTAAATCCAGAGTACAAAAACGCCTATGTTAATTTTTATAAGGATGCGTACGGGAAATTTGGTGTAGTCAAAGATGCGAGTTCCCATCGAGGGAGACGGCAGCATTTGAAAAGTGAAGGCGATATGGAAACAAATCCAGAGTATAAAAGTGCCTTCGTCGATTTCCCACGGCAGAGACCTTCAACTCGCAAACCTGATGGTCACATGCACACAGAAGGAAATGTAAGTATTTTTTAAATATGCAAACTTAGATTACATCATTAGAATTGCGTGTCAATACTTTTAATCTACTTTTAAGTGTTCTGTGCACACCACTGGGCGATTTCTGTGTTACATCGAGCTGTTTTAGATAAGCAACATGACGGAGAAGAGAGCTCAGTTTATCGAACACCCGGCGTCTAAGCCCCATCTTATGAAAAGGAGAACGGAGTTGAAACTGGAAGGTCCATTTGAGTGCTACCCTGAATATCGACGCGCTTACATCGATTACGTAACGCGCGACAACGCGGCAGGACGTCAACCTCGATTTCCACAAAATCTGAACGCGCAACGGAGGAGGGTCTTTGACGAGTCTATTGAGGGACCACCACCCGCTCCTGCCGAGACCACGTAAGTAAGTAGAGTTTTTACAATACTCAGGCACGCGTAAAGTTGTGATTTTTAGAAAGAAATCTGTAAGTTTGGCCGTGAACGGTAACCGTCGTCATCGCAGCCTCTCTCCAGCTTCGCAAAAGGTCAACCTATCCAAAGTAGAAACGCGCCTCTTTGGTCCCAAGTTGCCCCATCACAATTCCAGCAAAAGCGCACCGCGCCCCAAACCACCACTCCCCACCGAAAGTGAAAGAAAGTCACGTGCAAGTAAACGCTTTGGTTCCCCTGAACTGATAGAAGACTTGGCCTATGTACCATCAGTTGACCCCTCCACTCAACGCATCGCAAGATACGAAGACGACAGAAAACGCGACAAGCATTCTTTCGTGGTGCTTGCAAATATCGAATTGCAACCTTGCACCGATTCCAATAACAATCGTTTCGGAAGCAAGCAATTGTTCAAAGAGCAAAAGTGGATGCCTTCTTGGTACTCGACTTCCTCCAATAAGTAAACTGGTTATATAATTACCTCCATATAGTGCCATTAACTTTATGTATCGACTGCCAGTGTGTAATAGATAGATGGAGTTGTTTCTGTTAAGATTGTTATTTTGTGAAGAAATAAATGTTTTTTGATAAAAGTATTATTGCTTGCCATAACCTCCATAACCCCGGTTTGTTGTTTTCTTGCTATTTGACCGGTACTAGTCTGAGATCGGCCGGGAAAAACCTTTTCCGTTGCCCTGTGGAATCTAAAACGACCACAATTTTCAAGATTGGACCACTACACCAAAAGTTATAGGCCTTCGAATTTTGTTTAGAAGTCATCAGCTTCTTGCCCTTAACTTTTAATGTAAAGATCCCATGCTTAAAAAAAGCAGTTACCTTCCTGGTCTATTTCGAACGAGTTGTTTTTCGCGTAGAATTTACAGGCGAGTGTGCTTAACCAAAAATTGGCGAATTTTGGATCGATCAGGAATTTTTTTCTTATGCGATATGCTTGTCTTTAGTAGAAGAATCTTTGGTTAAAATGTCAAAAAAAATATCTCTATAAAGTTAGCATTGCGCATTCTGCGCCTGCGCACATTAATCGTAAAGATTTTTGTTGTGGTTGAGGTGCCAGAGCTATAAGCTACCGAATACAAAAGAACGAGCTAAACATCTTACAAACTGTAAGGCCTTAATATGCCCATTTCATTTGTAGTGTACCAACTTGCGCTAGTGCCACGTAAGGTATTGAGGGGAACGATCTGAAGATAACCAATAGAGACTGCATTGGTTCTGTGACTTCAGCTGAAGAAGAAATGTTGTGTTAGATGGTTAACGGTAGTGAGAGAGGGTATGGTAAGAGAGATGAGCAGTGCGCTACTATGCACATAATCTCCTATCGCATTCCAATTTGAATTCGATGATTTTCATTTATTTAGATTAAAATTGTGAAGCAAACCAGGAAAATCAAGAAAATATAAAAGTTATAGACAAAAAACCGATTTTAAAAATATAATAATATATTGTTGTGTAAACTACGTCATGCCGACTTTTAGATTGAACACAAACTCGATCATACTATTTGAATTCGAGTTCAATGTGGTTTTGTATCAGAATCGTTTGATTTTGTTTAAATAATTCCTTTGTTTATTTTCATTTTTAATTGTAAAGTGATTAAGTTTAATCATTTGAAAATAATTGCGCTTTGTTATTGTAAAAGTTTATCTCCGGTCAGTGCGATAAGAATTCGTTATTGCTGCGCAAAGCTAATTAAATTTCGAGGTAAACATAGGTAGTAATCTTTGCAATTCTTTATAATGTATTTTGTGTTTCATATGCAGCATTTTATATTTTTCGTGAGTTTCAATCTTTGTTTTTGACATCGACTTGATTTAACCTCAATGCAGTGTCACATGTTTGATACCGTTAACTTTTATTCTTTGAAATCGATTTTATTTATTTATATAAATGGTGCCTCAATTTTCTTTGTTTCGATTAAAATGGCCTTGGCCCAAGTTACGTTTATAAATTTTGATCATTCTTTTGAACATGTGGAAATTATCGAATTGTTTGATGTATGTATGGACTTTCTGTTTGTAAACTAAAACTTTTAACCTTGAAGATTGTCATGGGGGTGGTACATAACTGTAACCACATAAGTTACGACACCTAATGCCGGGACTGTTCTTGACTCTCAACTGCCGCAACCGGGACCCATTCTTTCCCTAGCTTTAAACGTTGAATTTGCCCTCCAACGTCATGTAATTTTCCAAGTTGCTTTTAACAAAAATGTGTTATTGTACCAATAATGGTGAGTCACCTGTCATCTTTTTTTGTTACCTCCTTGTATCCCAACCCCAACCAATTGTTTCGCAAGTTTTAAATTGTATTAGCTATCGTGTTTTGTGTATGTGATTTATCGTGGTTTATTATCACAATCAAAAGTACATAATCCCGAGATTAGAAATTATAACAATAGCCACTTGAGGGAGCAAACACACATACTTTACAAATCAATCCCAAAACATTTAACCCTAAAGGATACCGAGATCCCAATTCTGTGCACAGCAAATAAACCACCCTGTACATAACTATAACAAAATACGTCAGAATTTATTTATTCTACTTTAGTAATACAATAATCAAACGCGCGCTTTGGTTTGGCTGTAGGTTTCTACCTATTATGTGGATACATTAACTATACACACCAATAATGACTACAATTTTAGGTAGTTAAATGGCAGTTTGTCCCGAAATACCTCTACTCACTACTATGGGGTAACATTTAGAGTGTGTTGCGCATTACTGCGTGAACCAAGCAAAGGTAAGTACAACACGAAATTTGCTCCTAAGCTACTAGCACATTTATGTATATTAGTTAGCTATCACATTAAATTGACTCAGTATGCGTTTCAACAACTCTTAAAGCACAATCTTAACTATTTAACAAATAACAGTTATAATCAGTCTGTCAAATTAAATTGAAATCCACAATCCATTCGCTGGATTGAATCGTCTTATTATTTCCATGAGACGATCACTGTCGATTTTAGGCTTATATCCAAATGTTCAATTACTAAATACTGAAAAACAACAATATTAGCGCTAATAACACTCCTCAATTTTTTGTGCCCACCTTGTGAATAGTGTCATATTGAAATTCTTGGGCAATTTGATTAATGGTAACTTCATGTATGGGAATTTTAACACCTAATACTGTAACCACCCCCAAATTCGGTGGGTTTTCGCTACCCCACCATACGACCTCACTTCTAAGCTCTCCTGGCTTCAGTGTGAAGTTAAGTAATGAATATCGTCTTTCTTCCACCGAATCTAATTGCAAATTTTTTTGGTATATGTCGCTTAATTAATAACTCACTTAAAGAATCGCCATCATCCCAGTAGAGTTGACCGCTAGCTTGCTCGGATAAATCAGACGCCGCCAGCAACTGAATTTTGGTTAACCTCGACTGCGTAGTGGTCATCATCGCACTTTGCTGTGGAATAATATACCCACCTCTAATAAAAACGGGAATTGTATCCAAAGGCGCCGATATATTGACATATTCCCCTTTGCTGTCGTGCGCCGTTTTCGTATAGTAATCGTACCAAACGCCCGAAGGAAAGTACGGATTAACGTACGTTTTCGCCTCCTATTAAACGAATTAAAAATTGACATGTGCCTCCCGAAATTTACCTCTAAAACGGGCGTGATCATTAGCGCTGGGCCCCACAAAAATTGTTCATCAATGGCATAAGTCTTCTTATCATTCACAAACCTAAAAATTGGCGAATTAGCGCGCGTTGCGGAGAAGGGCGGGGTATTTACTCGAAAAATAGAGGCCTGGCAACGGTTTCTCCTTCAACATGGGCGGCCCAAAAGAGCGTATACAGATATGGCAGTAGTGCGTAGCGTACGTTTAACGCTTTTTTTGAGGATGCCACCACAAGCGACCCCAATGCAACTGGATCTTGCTCCTGAAAATTGTACACAGTGCTAAGTTTAGGAATCATAACGAAGTGTGTATATCTATGGAGTATATGGCGCGATGTCGTCCGGCCCATTCCACCTTTCAATGTTGCCATTTTATATAGTGTATGGTTGGTTGCCTAAGTGGCAGTCAGGTTCATTTTATCATTATTTTTGTCGGTGATCGTACATGACGCTTTTGAATATTGTGTGACTAATTTTAAAAAGCTATACTTACAAACCCATCATCGGTATTATGATTTCTAGAAAATGGATAAAATGCTCCCAACTGCATCCAACGATTACACAACGTTGCAGTAGTATTACCATTGAATCCACATATGTCGGCCCCCATCAACGGTACACCAAACATACTAAAGCTCAGCAATTCTATCAACCAAAACACCAATAAACACGTTAAATGTATTCAGCAAACTTACGTGGAATTGTATATTTCATATCATACCATTTCGAATATACATCGCCACTCCAATGGCCGGCATAGTGACCTAAACCTGGGAAACTGGATCGCGAAATTGTCACCGGTCGTTTATTCCGAATTTCCGCTAGTACGCTAAAAATTTTCATCACGCAAGGATTAAATCACCCTAAGGACTTACAAACTTGTAACGATTGCCTCAGTGAAACCGTAGAGGTTATGCACATCGTAGTGAATTCCGGCAAAATGCTTAGCACTCATGCACAACGTTTTATAATTTAACTGTCCCCCATCAACATCTGGAAGATAGGGTGGATTTTCAAAACGCGACTGTGGACAACCGGTGAACGATCCCGATAAAAAGTTGGACGGTTCGTTCATGTCAATCCATGCTCCGTCAAATGCAAATTGATCGTGCATTGACTTTAACATCATCAACCAATAGTCTACAGTATGAGGGTCCGTGAAGTCCGGCCATACGGTCGTACCATGATTCCAGACCTATAAAAGTGTGACCTAATTTTTTAAACACCATTGCATATACCTTATCCTTATTCTTAGCGTGAAAAGAATTAACAATTAAACAAGGAAAATTGTGAATACTCGTACGTACCTTCCCGATGAATATCTGTCCCGAAGAATTTTTCACGAATATATCCATTTCGACTCCTTTATCGTACGGTACATAGCTACCGGCTTGCTCGCTTGCGCTCACACCTGGGTCAATTAGTGGAATGTAGTTCATTCCCCTTTTATGCAAGTCATTCACGAACTGGGGTAGTCCCTTGAAGTTAATTGTGTCGTAGGTGAAATCGTTGCTGTTATTCATGTAATCTAAATCATTCCATTGAGTTTGCTAAAATTGAAGGTAAAAGGTGCTCGTAAAGGAACAAAGTAGCTGACTTACAATGGGAATACCGGCGTCGATATTTCTCTGCATCACCTTTTCGGTTTGGTTTAGAGAGTTGTAGCCGAACCTACGTGCAAAAAAAAACTATGAAGGACCTTGCTGTTAGAAATTGTACAGTAATCGATTGGGGCGGCTAGAGGTTATAAGAGAAGACGCGCTCATCAAAGGCTTTATTATTATACATTGATTATCATTGTATATTATACAATGAATACGGAGTGGATAATAAAGACGGAACCAAAGCGCTGGTGTGAAAACGGTTGGAGATATCGGTTTGAAAGTTTTAGGACTTAAATATGATGTGTTTGTGCATATTCCAGCATGAAAAGCAAATTTTTATCCCGCATGGTTTTATGACAGGGCCGCCATTTTGTTTTTTTTTAAATGGCAACATAGGTCTTGTAACACATCGTTGGAAAGCTCATTTTACCTTCAATACGAATATGCAATAGGAAAAATACGGCTGCGCAAAAATTATTAATTAACTACTAATTTTAAACGAATATACGGTTGGTTTGCAACTTAATTATGCAAATAATTCGAAAACTGTTTTGTAGATTGTTTATCGATTAAAAATTCTAGAAAGAGGATGTAATACAATTTTTAATAAACTAAAATTGATAAAAATGTAGTGGAACTCAAAAAAAGATAAAAATTCTTATTGTATTATTCACAATTTCGCTCTAATAAATTAGTTAGTTTTGCGTAACCGTTTATTTCCTATTGCATATTCGTAATGAAGGTAAAATAAGATTTCCAACGATGTGTTGCAACACCTATGATGCCATTTAAAAAAACAAAATGGCGGCCGTGTCAAAAACCTACAGAACAAAAATTTTCTTTTCATGCTAGAATATGCACAAACACATCTTATTTAAGGCCTAAAACTTTCAAACCGATATCTCCAACCGTTTTCACACCAACGCTTTGGTTCCATCTTTATTAGCCACTCTGTATATGATTATACCCAAGATACTTCGTACGTTCGGTTTTTTTTCTTTATCAAAATTCGGTCGCTACAGGATTTTGGTCCTTTAAAGATTGAAAATTATAAAAAGTTATTTGCGATCGTCAATGACACAAGAACGGCAAAGATCAAGTATTACCTTCGAGCTTTGAGAACGGTTAACAAATCTTGCATTATAGCAATAGAAATTTAGTGAACAATATTAGTTTAAAGGAAGTGGTTCAAGTTAGTGTTAAAAGCAAGGAAAGCGAAATTTTAGTTTTGTGTTTTTTCTGTTTTTGCATATTATACTTAATATCTACCCTTTTTGTGAATGAAATGATTGTTAGTGCATTCTTTTTAAATTACAGCATAAAATAAAGCATTATTAGTTAACTTGATTATTCTATAAAGTTGGAAAAAGGAGTGCAATTTCATTTTGTCACTCAGGCGGCCAAGTGTCTAGGAACGGCCCTGCTTATACCATGGAGTAAATACAATTGTATTTCCTCTATGCTTATACCGAACGACGTATAGTAGGCACTTAAATATTAATTAGATCTGTAGTTAAATAAAAAAAAAGAAGTGTTGCACGAATCAACGCAATGGGTTAAGTGAAAGAGCAGGGCATCGATTGCCGAAGTTAGTGGACATGCTCCGTGATGTGCATGTGATGTGACCGGCTGCCATGACGTCATTAGCGTATAGCGTATACGATATGGATAAGTTCAAGTTTAGCTGCCTTCCTGAATCGTGGACAAACTTTATGAGCTAACCAAACACAGACAAGAATTGAACTGTCATTTGTCAGTTTTGTATTATGTTTTGTTTTTGCATTATGAATACTAAAATAAGAAATAGGGCAATGACTGACGCCCAGAAACAATTGTTAAAAGAGTGTGGAAGGACGTTATTAATAACCAGAAAATCCTCGAACAATTCCATGTTTTATTTCACAGAAAATATGTGAATGTATAGGTTAGGGCACTGAATAACCCAAGCAAAACAGCTGCACGATCCGTCCTGTAGCTGCAACTGCGCATGACTCACGCAACGAGTGGTCTAGACCAGTCGTTGCGTTCGATCAACTTATCGCTCGATGTGGTAGGTTCAAGAATGCCCTTTTAAATCGCGCTTATGAATATTATATTATTTAGATGTTCGTTTTCCTTAATGTCACTAGCGTGATTTAATAAGACATTATTATTATTATTATTATTAATTATTCCACAATTACATTGGTATAACTATTATAAATTATGGGGATAATAACCAATCATAACTTATTTTTTTGTATTTAAGATATTTATATAAACCTTTTTTTAAAATTATTATTAACTCGGTAAAAAGGAAAAATCATATTTATATTATTATTATTATTATTATCAAATGAGAAACAGTTTGTAGTGTAACATTCTGAGGTTCCACGGACTGCATTGTCCTTCAACCTCCTTGGCATCACTCTTGAAGTTTCCACTGTAGTTTTCCTCCTTTTTCCTCGAATGAGTCTTCCTTCCTTAGTGTATTGCACACAGTGCATCATACAGGTCTAATTTCAAATTGCCATTGACGTCGATCCCGCTTCTCTTCAATAAGGTCAGAACATGACGTTTTTCTTATGAGCTGATCTCTCATGCCAAACTTGTAATAATTCATGTTCAGTAACAACGTGACTTTCAGCCGACGTCGGTGTAATCACGACCCATTTGATCCCTTGGACTGAGCAAACAAAACCTTGCCCTATAATAAATGTAGCAATTTTCACTGTTCAGAACCGAATAGTACCCTTTATCCAGAGTAGAAGTCGTCAAGAACAAATTTTACCCACTCCCAGAACAAACCCCACATTCTTCAGCCTTCACGCCTTCATTGATGGGCCATTTCCGACTTGTGCTTTTCTGGGAAAAATACCTCAAAAATAGAATACCAATTACGGTTCATGGTAATGTGCATGTGCTGCGTTGCACCAGAATCTGCAACCCAAACATTGGGGGAATGTACAGATTTGACAATATCCGATTGGCTAACAAACGCAGACCCCTCTAACTCTTCCCAGATTAGGACTTCTTGGAATTATTCTTACAGTTCCCCTTATAAAAACCTAACTCGCCACATTTGTAACATTTTGGGACAAACTTCTTTGACTTGTCGCCACCAGGGCTGCGCGATAATAAAAATTCACTATCGATTATTATCGATATTATCGGATATTGTTAATTATCGATAATTTGTTATTATCTATACTTTAATCATAGCGGAAGTTCGAAGGAAAATGACCATGAACCGCGCAGCTGATATTATCGATATACAATTATTGATTATGGCCGGGTAATCATCAATACTCGATTAATATCAATAATCAAGATCTATCGACAATTATCGATATATGGATAATATCGATAAACTTCAATTATCGGTATTTATCGATAATTATTGATATATGGATAATTTATAACATCCCTAGTCGCCACCCCCACCACACTTACCGTGGCCGTCACCAGCATACTTAGTATCATTCAGCCGCTGCTCCAAAACACCTCACTAAGATTATCCAACATTCGATTCTCCTTACACACTGACTCCCAAGCATGAATAAATTCAAGGTATTCGGCAGGCATCGCATGTTCAAAACCCGATTCAATTTTACCTTGTCCTCCTTGTAAGTCTCATCTAAAATTTCTGTCATAGCTCCTCAAGTTTGGCAATGTGTTTTGCAATCGAATCCTCAGGTTCCTTTTCTCTTACACTAAAAAACTGAGGCGATCTTGCCTTTGCTCCGATTTCAGCTCATAAACTGCATGCAATTATCCCACACTTCCTTGCAGGTCGTATACATAATAGGTATCAATCGTCTTCCTGAGTTGATAAACTCAAGACAATGACATTCTGAGCTATAAATTCCAAGTTTCTTGAAGGCTTCTTTCCCCTTATCACACAATCCATGCTAACCTTTGGCGTTCAACTGAATTTTCACTAGGCATTTCCAATCAACTCAATTGTAATGTCCCTCCAATATACAGTGTGTCCCAAATCGGGTGGGATTGCATGGGTAACTTTGTTATTATTAAAGATAGAGAATTGGTTAAATGGGCAATGTTTTGCAGTTTTGGATGCTTAATTAAAATTTCCTTATGGAAATTCAAAATGTCGCATAGGTTCGACGTAAATTCAAAAAAACTAAAATTGGTCATTTCCTTGAATGTCTTATATCATTGAAAGTATAAGAGATATAAAAAAAAGGTTTATATAAAAGTGACTGTCTTTGATACGCTTAATTTAGAATTGATGTCAAAAAAAAATTCAAGATGGCCACTTTTGAGGCACATTTACCAACTTCCTAAAGTTAAATGGGCGCCATATTGGATTTTTAGATTACTTGATAGATTTTTAAATTCTCTTTTCAACGAGCTATTATAACATAAGATTGAAAATAAGATACCAGTTATATTAACGGTTTTTGTATTTTAGTCAAGTAGCCTGTGACGAATAAAAAAAAACAAAACAAAATCTATTCGAGGCAACAAAACAATGAAAATAATTACACCAGATGTTTAAAATACTGGCCATTATTAGTGAAACACACTTCAAGACAGTTTAGTTTAGGCAACGTGTTGCCATTGATGATTATTATGATTATTTTAGTGGTAGCTACTTCCACTTTACTTTTATTTTTAGCGCATTTTTGAAAAAAATACGCTATTATATTCGTCATTGCTGGCAGGCCGGCTGTCCGCGTTAGATCTCCACAACTACAATAGCTAGAGAATTCAAATTTTCACTAAAAGCTTTCTGCTATAGTGTAGATGTGCAGGCACTAGTCTATTTTGAGTTAGATTACTTGTAAGATCGATAATTGAAGAAAATAATTTCGATATGGGTTTCGGAGGTACTATAATTTTACCGTTAGATAGCGCTACCAGTATAAAAACTTATTATTTACTTTGTGATTTGTTTTACAAAATGAAGACGTACCGTCAATTGAAATTAAATAAAATTAATTATTTAACGCAGCCAAAATTACTCGTGAGATCGATAATTTTAAACTTCGCTAATAAAATACTGACCTGTATTACCAAAAATGCGCTTTAATCATGCATATGCTGATTTACAACTTGTTTAATTAAGTACTTACTTTTATAATTTAATGTACTGTACATAATTCGTGAATTGTGACCTGAGCAGCCAGTTTGTTGGTAGGTAGCATAAACTACCCCTTCCTTCGAAACATACGTTGTCGAGAAAAATCCTTTAAGGAAGTTTATTGGAGAATTTGTAAATAATGGTGAGCAGTTAAAGATCCATCGAAGATTACCGGTCCAATTACATGACTTCCCATTATGCCATAAAATACATTAATTAAAAAAAAATATTACTTGATTTCGGCGTGAATCTACAACATGTAGGTTTTCCTGTGACGAGTAGTGTTCATAATGTCGATACACTTCGCAGTTAGAAAAATAAGATTTATCTGTCCATATACTCGGACTGGTAAAACTGTTAGTTTAGATATTCTTGCGGATAAACCACCTACAAAATGTGACCTGGGACAATGCATCAATGGTAATACATTGTGTAAAATAAAGCGAAGTGTCTTGAAATGTCTTTAACTGGATAATGGCATGACTTTTTTCGAGGGGATAGTTTGTAGTTATACCACCATTTGTAGGTATGTAAGTATGGATAATAAGTCAATAAGTGATGTTATAAAAATCAAATTTTTCTAGACCGCTTATATAAAATTTTGGAGGGAGTTGTAATGCCCAAACCCCCCTCTCATTAGTGCGTCCCTGATTTTTTTAAACGTCTGATGTAATTATTTTCATTGTTTTGTTGCCTCGAATAGATGTTGTTTTGTTTTTTTTTTAATTCATCACAGCCTACTTGATTAAAATATAAAAACCGTTGATATAGCTGGTATCTTATTTTCTATCTTATGTTATGATTGCTCGATGAAAAGAGAATTAAAAAATCTATCAAATAATCTAAAAATGCCATATGGCGCCTATTTAACTTTAGAAAGTTGGTAAATGTTCCTCAAAAATAGCCATCTTGAATTTTTTTTTGACATCAATTCTAAATTAAACGTATCAAAGACAGTAACTTTTATATAAAACTTTTTTTTATCCCTCTTATACTTTCGATGATATAAGACATTCAAGGAAATGCCCAATTTTAGTTTTTTTGAATTTACGTCGAACCTATGCGACATTTTGAATTTCCAAAAGGAAATTTTAAATAAGCATCTAAAACTGCAAGACATTGCCCATTTAACCAATTCTCTATCCTTAATAATAACAAAGTTACCCATGCAATCCCACCCGATCTGGGACACACTGTATATTCAAACTCACAAAACTTCCATGACAAATAACCCAGACGAGAGTAACTAAGTTCTCCAATAACTACACACACGACACACTTCCATTGCGATCGTTTACAACAAAGTTCTAACAAAAATTAATTCGCGCAATACTGAGCCCATAACCTGATGAGGTCTGTGGTTAAATGTATAAAGAAGGCTTGCACGAATTGAAAGGTAAACAGTTGATAGTGTTAAAAAGAACTGTAATCTAACATGACATTTTTCAATAGGTATCTGATTTTTCTATCACTCTCATAGCAACACATACATTCGAAATCGTTAAGGGCTGGTTATTTGATTTTTCCATTAACCAAATATACCTACCTGCACAAATGAAATCCCAAACTCCAATAAGGGGGCATGAAAGGTTTGCCGATTATTTCCAAATATTGAATCACAACATCCTTAGGTGTCGGGCCCATAAAAAAGTAGAAATCTAATACTCCCCCAATTGTTCTAAATGTTATCGCAGGTGATGGCTGTAGAATAACATCTAAAACAGTCATTTATATTGAGGGGCTACATCATTGGCGCATACCCATTGCATTGCTGTTTAACAAGAAAACACCATGACTTTTACCAGAATTCTCCATCATCATATAGAATGGATGGCTGCCGTACAAATTCATCTAAAATACAACTTTTAATAAGTGTTGTTTGTAAATTCGAAAGTACATTCTCAGTAGGTATGCCATCATGCGTAAACATTGTAAATTGCTGCCAGTGTGTCGACAGCAAAAGTGGTGAACGATGTTCTCCTAGTCCGTAAATGTAATTCGAGGGCAATTTCGAAGACAACTGTAAAAACTGATCACTGAAGACCATATTTCCCAGATTAAATGTATCGAAACTGCAAACACAACAATTAGCTTAATTGTCTCAACCGAGAGTGCAGTACATAGGCGTGCGCTCTCCTTTTCGCATAATTCGGAATCCCCCATTTTCCTCGTTCAGTTGGAGATTGTAGGATAAATTGGAGGCCGCCTTATCCACAATTGGCACTTCTGGATACGGTGGTTCGAAGCGATTACGAAACGGATCTACGAACTAAGTGGAGGTTTTAGGTTAAGATTATAGGCCGCGGATGGACTGAACAAGAACATTAAAAAATGTCATTGTTTGTCTCAAAACAAATTCTGAAACAAAAAACTAAATTTTTAGGATTATATGGATTTTTACGGTTTTTCATTGTTGCAAATAACAATTCTTCCCTCTTGTGCAGTCCATACACACTGTATAATTTACTCGTCAGACCTAAGTATTAAACTGAGAATCATGAATAAGCAGTTGCTACATAACAAAATAGTATAAATATATAAATTTGAAATTCTCTGTCTGTCCGCCTGTACCACCCAGGAATTAACCACTCCTACAGTTGTCAATATACAGAGTGGCCCAACGAGAAGTATACAGGGGGCTTTTAGGGTATTAAATTTCGAAAAATCCTCGAACACGTTAATTTTGTAATCGAGGGGGACAACTTTTGGAATACAAATCACAAACCCAAGTCTTCACCCCTCTACGTAGGGAGCTTAACCCCTAAAATTTTAAATGGAATCCTATGGCAAATGGCACATTATTTAAAAGCCAATTTAATCGTGATTACTGATCTGCTTTGTTTTTTAAATTCTATTGATAATTAAGTAGTTCCAGAACTCGCCACTAGGGCATCTGAGCAATACCAATATTTATACCGTATTTTCTGTAAGACAACTAAGAGGTGGGTCCCAAAATTGAACATTTTTTTTGATGGGGAACCTAGTCAACTTTGGGAACCAGTGCGCTATAGTAACAGATAATCAAGGAGGCATTAAAAGCTATAGAAGTGAATTCTAGGTTTTTTCAAAGATACTGACAAAGAGTGTTATTAAAACCACTAAGAATAATAATCATACCTTAATATGTAATCGGTTTTCGGCTTCGTACTTAACAATCATTTTAATTATTTCTACATCATTCCCATATGCACTTCGATAGTTGCGTTTTAAAAATGCAGTCAGTCCATATGCAGTTTCTGTTACATTAACGTATTTGTAACTATCGTAATTGGGGGGAAAGTAACAGTAGGGCACGTCGAGAGGTGCGTATTTCTTCTTTTTGGACTTTGATTTAACAGGAACCCAACAGCAACCTCTCAACTCGCATCCTTGCATGTTCGCACCGTACTCGGGGTAACAGTCCAATTTCTCTTCGTTTTTGAGTAGTTTGCACTGCTTATAATCGGGCTTGGGGGGAGGTGGTAGATCTTTTTCGGATTGAGAGCTTTGAAGTTCATCGTGTATTTTAGCACTTGGTGTGTAATGTTCCTGAAAGATATCATTTGTCTCACTGCGTGCAGAGTAATTAAGATAATCTCACCTTATCCTTAAGATTATGATGCGAATGTTGAATTAATAAATCATGATCAATGTTTACAACACCAAAACAGTGTAATAAATATATAATTGGAAGGATTAAAAACACAGCCAATAACAGGATGAGCAATAGGATTGTCGCTAGACTAGGACGGGTGCATTTAGAAATACTGCTGGTTTCTGCAGAGAAACGAACGTACTCTTCTGCCTATTAAAAACAGACTTTCAAACAGATTCAAGTGACTGAAATGTGTAACTCACTTTGGCATGCTTTGGGGAACACTTGTATTCATTACTTAGTGAGGACTCCTTTGTGGCAGGGTGACGTAGAGGAGGTGCTTCGTTACAAAACGCCTCAAACGATACAGAATCACTGTTATTCAGCTGCCTCGCTCTTCGTATCCTCCAGGCAATGAGTAAATCTCTAATTCGGGTCATTCTGTAAACTTCACAATGTATGTAAAATTAATAAACGATTTGTTCTTCGTTTTATTGTAGATTATAACTGAAGGGAGTGTGGTAAAATAAAGATATAATATCAAACGTTATCATTTGTAACTGGACTGTTTCCTATTGATAAAGTGCGATGATGCGGTTTATTGTTTGGTTTGGTTAACCTTTTGACATAGAACAGCTGAGCTGATGCGCGCTTTAAAATGAGATTTCCCCCCAGGCGCAAATTTCGTAAATAAAAAAGCTACTTTTCTCAATTGTAATGATGCCCCGGGGCCCGGCCAAAAGAGATTTTCATTTGTATTTTTTTTTTGTATTTTTGTGAATAATGATCCTAAGATTTTTCGATTAAGTTCAAAGGTCTGTTCGGATGCTCGGCGAGGACTTCCGTGCTAGTATTCAATGCTAGTACATATGCATAACTCAATATAACAGAAAAGTTTAAACAAATATAAATTGTGCACAATTCTTGTGCAGATACAGCGCATTTTTTTAACCGAAATAGCTTTTGTTTTGACATCACGTCTCAATCACCCTTTGTGAGTACTCTCTTCCCACAATCCGTTCTTGAGGTATAAGGGAATATACCCGATCACAATAAGAGGTCGAGAAGGAGGGCTATGGTTGGTAGAAATTAATTCCTTTCATTGAGACCTTTCATTAGAGTACCAGAAGGATAAAACTAGTTCTACTCCCCCCCCCCTCCGGCCTTGGCTACCTGCTGCAAAAAATTCCAGGACTCTAGGACCATTCCCCTAGAAGTAGTTTGAAAAGGCAGAAGTGGGTCCGGACAAAACGCAAACAATAGCACATTTAATTCTTAAAAAATTCACAGAAGTGAAGTCCAAAAAACCATACCATTATGTCAAATTTCCTACTTACGTCACAGTGGCAGAAGGCGAGCGTTCATATATACTCTTTCAAGTACTCTTTAGAGTAAAAAATCCCTTTCGGATTTATTGAGCTTTTCATTTATTTGAGTGAGATAAAGGTAAATGTTTGGAGGTAACGTGGCTATTTGTAATCTTTCAGAAATATTGTATTATTAGGTAGAAATGTTGAATTAGAAATTAAAGCAGGATTTCCGTTAAAATACGAGAGACGCTTTTTGCCTAGTTTGAGTCCGGAGTGCCGTTCTTTTGAAGACGTCTTTTGTTCAAGTTGAGGCCAAGAGGGTGCTGTCTGTTTAAAAAAGTTTTTTTTTAGGTATACCAACCCCGACCTGCTGACCATTGGAAGCAGTTTTTTTGTTTTCGTTCAAGTTCGTGCCCAAGCAACAGTTTGGAATAAAATTTGTCTTTGTAATTTCATGCAAGTTGTGTGTTAATTCGGACCCTTTATAACGACGAACAGAGAAGTTTCATTCTCAATTACAGTTAATTTTAATGATTCTCGCTCAAAGTTAATTTTAAGTGTTAGTAAAAATTTAATTACCTACATGACCGTTTGGAATTGAAGGATTTTGATTTTGCGCACTATCTACTCGAAAACGCCTAGCAGCAGACTCAAATCTCTGTATACGATTTTTACTACAGAACACTTAAAATGATTGTAACAAAAGATAGTATCTACCAGACATTTCGCAAACATCAAATTTGAATTGAATGTTACTATGAGAGCGCACTAAAAATGTGTTATTCTTTTTGTATTTCTGATTTCAAAAGCAAGTTGCTTCTCCACTGTTTTGAATTTATGACTGATAAAGGTTCAAACGATAAAAGAAGATCTAGTTTCATTTAAAACTACAAAAACTGAATCACACTTTTACAAATATTTTTATTACAAAACTATAATCGCATAAATAAATAAATACTAAGCGGTACACCCACTCATAATATCTGAAACAAACACAGTGTAAATAAACGTACTAAAAAATTTATAAGAAAAAAACTCACTATCAACAATTGAAGTCAAAGCTTTCATAGCAGGAGAACCTGGTAACTCGGTTAAGTAATCTTTGCCCTCATCACAGCATCTGGCCAATTTAGGATCTAAAGGCAAACTTCCCAAAAAGGGAATATTGAATTCATTGCACATGCGTTGTGCCCCACCAGTGGTTGCAGGAAATATTTCCGATTGTCGCTGTGAACGTAACAATAATGAAACCCTACATAGCAATTAGCGAAAAATACCTGGCAGCAAGGGCATACAAAAATGGACATATTTTCTATAACACCCAGTATGTTTATGTTTAGTTTCCGACAGAAATCAACCTCCTTCCGAACATCTAAAAGGGCGACCTCTTGAGGTGTTGTAATAATGATCGCGCCTGTTAGACCGGCCTTGGCCAAGTATGTTGCAGCTGATAAGTGTTCGTCAGACGTACCTTGAACGGAAAAGTTTACGTTTATACATCAAGATGATAAACAAATATGTTGTGAAGTTTCCATTGACGTACATTGATGATCTTTGTACCGCGATAACAAAGTTACACAATTACCTGGGGGTGTATCCATAAGGAGGTAGTCGAGATTTCCCCAATCAACTTCGCTTAAAAATTGACGAATCATTCCATTTTTCTTGGGTCCTCTCCATATGATTGCGTCATCAACGGAAGACAAGAGAAATCCAATGGACATGACGGATAAGTTGTCCTCAACGTACTAAAGCCGTCAGTAAGTCATAATATTAACTCAAAAGTTGGCACATACCACTGGTGACCATCCCGACCCCGATTGGTGCACTTGTTCGCCATTTACACCTAAAACTCTCGGTTGCGATGGTCCACAAATGTCAATATCTAAAACGGCAACCTGCAAAACATATTGATTATTTTTCCATGTCGAGGAATGTGCAGAACTTAAATTAGGCCACAGTGCTTAGCACAGAGTGACACAGACTTCCCGATGTTTGAAAATACGGGAGTGTTAGATCAGATTGTGAATGTAGCACACAAATGTTCTTTGGAGGTCCAGAAGAACGAAGAAGCCGATATAACAGAGTAAGACTTACATTTAATTCAGAGTTACGTTGCGCAATTCCACGACTGAGCAGAGCAGTTAGTGTGCTTTTACCGACACCTCCTTTACCAGACAATATCAAAATTTTGTGTTTTACTGCTTCTAAACGATCCTTCACCAGCTGTATGCCGGGGTCGACTGCCTTAGTTGCACCGGAGGAACAGACTTGTTGATTAGGGCAACCTGCACAGGCTGACACTTTGCCGGCGTCGGTACTCTGAGTGCCCGGACAATCTGTGATGAAGGCTTTACACAAGGGGCTTAGCAAAATAAGTAACTTACGTTCAGGAGCGTTTGGGGGTATCACTTCGGCCATGCTTATAAGATGTCAATAACCTCACTCATTTAATGTTTCTGACGATTAGCTGTTGATCTCGCGCTTTTATGTAGTGAACTTTGCCTGACGCGTGTCTGTAAAAGTAAAATAAATAGAAATAGAACTTGCATGAGCAAAGTACACAAACTTCTTGTGTTTAACTTAACCTTACATTTTTTATTGATTGTCGTTTTTTATTTATACAGGGTGTCCAATACCGAGATTAATCTAACCGGTTATTCAAAAACCCGTTTCAACTAAAATATTTTCAGTTTTATACGATTTCCGGTTACACCGGATCTTGACTAAACGAAATTACTCCTGTCAATGAAGAAAAATTTCCTGAAACTGGTAGAGTTCACCTCTCGAATCTGAACAATATACTAAAAGTCCGAACCGACAGGGTGTAAGCTTAGGGGTGGATAGGGATTGAAAGGTGCACTTTTAGCGCATTTTTTAACGTAGTTGGGTGCGCCATTGCAGCTTCTCTGTCCGTCCGACCGTCTGTCCCTCCGTCTGTCCGAGGGCCTTAACAACTTTCTTATTTATCTTCTGAAAATTTTAATCACAGATGCTTCTCTTAAAAGCAAACATATCTCATATTGTAAGCATTAGATGCTTAGATTACATATGAATACATTACTTTGAAATTTTAACCATGATGCTTCTAATAAAGAAAAACGTATCACATGTAGTAAAAATCGAACACTACAAAAGTCATTTGCAAAGGCAAACACATCGCACATAGTAAAAATTAAATGCGCGCATGCGCAGGCCGCAAGATGCCAGCTTTTTTACTTATGAAGATCTCTCTTTAAAATTTTAACCATAGGTAGACGTTTCTATTAAAAATAAACATATCGTATATAGCATAAATTAAATGTGCGCATGCAAAAACATTCTTTATTTTAAAGGGTGCCCATTATGTATAGAATATTATAGTGTATATAGTCTGTTTCGAATTAAGTCGGCACTATTGCTAAATTTCTTAAGCCCGCTTGACATGGAGCAATAAAAATTGCAATTGCATGCAAGTTGCAAGAAAAATTGCGAAAGGCATTCGCAGTTCAAAGCCAGCTGATCAATTGCTGCAAGAGACTTGCATGCAATTTTTATAGGACCGGTGCTATTTTTCTTGCATGAATCGTGCAATTCTAGGGAGAAATCTAGTTGTTTTTGTGGCACCAACCTAGTAAAATACAGCGGCGGCAACTGTGATGCTGAGAGACGCACTCATTATTTGTTTTTACTAATCTTATTTATTCTTGTAATTTTCATGTTTCTTCAAGCAATCAAAATTTAATTTTCATTTGAGGTTAACAACTTTGTTGACAAATCCATATGATTCTTCTGTTGGCAGACATGTGGCAATTGAAATAGAATTGCACCATGTCAAATACCATGCAATGCTTATTGCATGCAAGGATTTGACCTTGCAATTTCTTTCTGCAGTTCTTGCGCGTAGTATTGCTCCA